CGGCGGGAACAGCTAGTCCCTATAATCAAGAATTTCGGGGAAAATGATCATCACAAATTTCTTTCGAAGCAGCTTGCCCCCATCCTATGACGGAAATCGTGTTGGTGATGATTAAATCGATTTAATAACCTATTTGGGGAGAAAAGAGAACTCTAGCTACTACTAGCAGGTGTTTATAAGAATTGATCCTCCTCGTAAATCTACAGATTGGTGGCTTGTCCCTAGGCATAATACTTCCTACCCAGCCACGTGTTTCCAGTAGTGATTAAGTTGTAATAGCGCTTCAGCCTCCTTATTAGCAGTGCCTTTTCGTTCAGTTTCATCTTCCCCCCCCCCATGCAGCCTTATCGTAAGAATTTTCAATATTAGGCTTAGGCATCCGCCTAAGTTCAAATAATGGTCAAACCGTAACACTTCCGCAGTAAGATAGGTTTGTGAAGTATCCAGATTCTGCTTGGAAGACTAGCCCAGATGATGTATCACCGCACCATCCAACCATGGTGGTGGTAATAGTGTCGCCTGCACTCTAGCAACTGAAGACTCGGCGCGCACAAAGCTCAATTAGTAAAACTCCATGCCAAAATTCGAAATTTCACGCCCGTCGAGACTGTATCCATCCTCTACATCATCTTGTCAAATTGTCCTGAATCCTCTCACGCCCATCCCAAAGAACTGTCTCCCAGATTTGTGCGCCACGCTTTCCTTCCTCCGTCGGGTGTAAATATGGCCGTGGCCGTGTATCTGGCGACCAGCTGAGGCTAGAGAAAGCCGAGAAGAGGTGTGGTAGTTAGAATGAGGATGTACTAGGTCGTTCTTAGAGACTTGATGAAGCTTAGGGAGGAATCGATTTAGTTGGGAGTGAAAGAGAGAAATGGTGGAGTAATTTGAACCAATGCCTCGTGGGCCAACTTGTTCCATATCGCGAAATTTGTCCGAACTTGGCTCTGGGAGAATATTTCACTCCCCTGTATTCCTGAGTGAGGCACTGGTCATGTGTCATAGCTAGATAGATGAATAGCTGAATGCACGTTGTATGACATAAAAAACGTTTCCACTTCTACCTTTTTCTATTTTTTGTTTGAGTAGAAGGTTCTATGGAAAAGGAGGCTGAATTCCACGGGTGAACACCGGACTGAGTGGCTATCCATCATGGGCAACATCAATGGTCTTTCATGTAGCAAAAGAGGATGTTGGGACTGTCCAAGATGTGGCCTGGGACAGAGAGGTGCCCAACATGCTAGATTTCCTTGAACTCAAGGAGCACAGTAAACATACCAACAAACTGCTCTGTGGGCGGAAACTAAGGGGCATCCTTGAGCCTGTTTCATCCCCAGATTTCTAAGAGATTTCGCTGTCAAACATTCAGCAGTCACCTTCCGGCCTGAAATTGAACGGGGCTTTTTTTTTACCATAAGATTTTGATTGCGTATGCAGCTATCTCGCTATGACACAATATCAAAGAAAAGTACAGAAAAGATGACTCTATTTACGAGAGGAGCAATCATGCCTCGGATTTCATTTGCAGGTACCACTGCGAAGTTATGGTGGCTTTTTCTTCACCCCAACTCAGCCCTCATCCGTGAATACCCACCCAGGGGAATTTCTCAAAAACCGTGAGTTATCCAGACATGCTTCCATCATCTTTCAGCTTTTCTCCGCGCGAAATGTAATCTGAGATGTCTCCTTCCCAAGTGGAGTAGGTGCCCAGGCTACCCAGACTATACCAGAGAACACCACCAGGAGGCGGATCACAACACCTTCTATCGTTTGCATGTTTTTATAGTGTCAGCTGCACTCTCGCAAGCGAAGTCTTGGCGCGCACAAAGCTCTTCAATTTGTGAATCTCTTGCCAGAATTCGAAATTTCACGCCCGTCGAAAACGTATCTCTCTTCTGCATCATCTTATAAACTTGTCCTGATCCCTCTCATGTCGATCCCAAAGAACTATCTCCCAGGTTTGTGCGCCACACTTTGCTTCCTCCGTCGGGTATGAATATCAGCGTGGGCGTGTATTTGGCGGTCAGTTAAGGCCAGAGAAAGTCGAAGAGAGGTATGGTCATTGGGATGAGGATGTACTAGATGGTACTTGTAGACTTGATGAGTCTTTGGTAGGAATCGGACTCTTTGGGAATGAAAGATTGACATGGTGGAGTAATTTGAAATTTTGCCTCGTGGGCCAACTTCTTTGATATTGCGAAATTTGACTGAACTTGGCTTAGGGATATTATTTCACTCCCAGGTTCGTAGAAGATACCGCGTACAGGTTCAGTCTTGCCCTCCTACTGTGAACGGGGCTTTGCTGATCAACATTAGACTTAATTGCGAAATTTAGAAGAGTCGATTTTCATGTGAAGAAGCCATGCTGAAAAAATCTCAAACGGCTAGAGTGATGTAATCCGAGCGCCATGCGGTAAAGGGCAAATCTGTAGAGCTGCATAGCTTTGTTCTGTAAGAAACATCAAACTGGTCCTTGTCACAAAACTGATCAACAGTAGGCGTCGGAGATAATACAGAGCTAAGGGGCCGTTTAAACTTGGATGGGGAGATCCGATATGCATAACCAAAAGTCAAGTAACCGTCAATCTCGATTACTAGCATTATTTTGGATCCCGAAGACTACAGCCGTCGGCCCACATCATCAACCATATCCATGCTGGATCAGCGGAAACCAGGACGGCATCCGTGGAGACTACTAGTCAGCGAATGGGATATTTAGCAAAGGCTCTTCTCCTTTGCTGTGCACCCCTTGAGAGAATGCTAGAGAGAAACATCTAGTGAACGCTGCTAAGATGAGCCTGGAGGGGACTATTAGTCTGTGATTAGGAAAATGGCAGTGCGCTGATCCTCTGTAGAAAAGGGACGAAAGGGGGAATGCCCATGGCGACTAAGGGACAATGGGTTGCTTCTTAGCCTTTCCGCCTTGCAGTTTGGCCTGAAATGAGAGATTGACGCTGTGAGTCCAAGCAACATTGGTGGACAATTGAGACAGGCGCCAACACTTCTTCAGTTCCGAGAAACCTACACAGCGCCTCTATTTTATGATGATGGCAATAGCACTATACACCCTAAGCTAGACATTGGAAGAAGATGTCTTAAGTTAGACCGGCTTCAAGATGGTCATCAAACCAAAACCATAGGAATAGCCCCCACAAATTGACAGCCCTTCAGCCTCAGGGCTCTGCAGAGCATGCACACCTGCATGTCAACTTACCTTTGCTGGTGGCGTCTGGAGGTCGACTTTAGTTTGAAGCCTCTGTCCACGAAGAAGCCCGCCACCCGTTTATCAAATCCTAGCCCTAAAGCTGCAGCTCTTTTACCAATTGTCGGAACAAGCCTGCCGCTCAAACTGCAAGGCATACATTTCGCATATTCGAAATAGTCTCATGAGCTCCCCTGGGAGTGACCCATGCTCAAGCTACAGTGACCTTCGAGAAACATCAAGCTCCCATCTAGTAAAGTGGGGCATCTTCGACATTTTAGCCACACCACAGCGATCTTAGGCCCATCAGCTCAGCGTCAGGGACCCACGGACATGGCAGGCCTGCTCTAGAACAGTGTATTTCGCTTACACCTACTTAGTCTTTCATCTCAGCTGGTAATTAGGACTGAACAATACATTTCTGTGAAGATCTCTACCGACTGGCCCATGTAAGTATTCAACGACAATGCACAGCATCTGACAGCTCAATTGAGATAAATGAAAGTAGCTCGTAGCTTTCTCAACTCATCTTTTCCCACAAGCCTGGATCCATACCAGCCGTATGGTGATGGGTTTCTTCTAGTTCATGAGCAGCTATGTGATAACCCAACATAGCCAAATTGCTTACTTATTTTGTCTAACAAGATTTGAGGTGACAACATCCATAATATTCGTCTCACCGGTCGAGCATTGAACTCCGCATCCGATTATTCCTACAGCGGTCAATCCTTCAAAAATTTTGTCATGGAATAGAGAGCTGCTGAAGTTGTACGGCAGGGGGGAATAGCGGATATTTTCGAGTGATGCTAAGTTGATTCAGGTTGTTGAGCGCAAATCCCCTTATTCTTTCTGCAGAGGACATGCAGCAAAGGATACCCATAAGTAGATCTGTGCGCTAGTAAGTGCAGACGCTATGCCGGCTTTCCGAGTCGCTCCCCTAGCGCGAGCTCTAAAAATCATACATGAAACCTTGGCGCCAAATTTAGAAATGAACATCCCATCTGAAAATAATATGTCAAGCATCGGAGAGAAAATTTGTGAAGTTCCAAACTACCAAACCGTAGATTCTTCATGCTGTGGTCGAGGGGTGGGAAGGCATTAGATAGATACTAATTCATCAAATTTAGTTGTGAAACCTCATTTCGTGTGAGGTGGGATCAACGCGATCTTCATTGGCTTACTCTCGGTCACCGTCTCACCGGCCAACGACTTGGAAAGCAAAGTCTTCTAGTCCTAGACTAAGAGGCTTTAGTGACAGAAGGAGGGCAACCCGACATGAATATGGAGAACATGCCCAACAACGTCTTTCCTGCTAGCCTATACCGCAGCAAGTGACTACGACCAGGGTGCCGCGCATCGCTCATGGAAAAGTACTAGATCTGCTACTCGATTGGTACTGGAAGAGAGATCAGTGCTTATTAGCGTGTGCCATAGGGCTAGACATTATATACGAATGGTGTATATGATGTCGGATTAGTCGTTCTCGCAGGGGCTACATGTTTTTCCGACATGCCGAGTTGGAGCAATGAGCATACGGAATATCCCCTGTCTCAGAAACCACTAGATTAGGAAGCATAGTGGAGCTTTTTCCCGAACTCATCGGACAGCGTGCGCAAACAAGTAAAGGCGAAGAAGTACTCAGTTCTCCAGATTCAGCTATTACAAAGTGTCTAGTTACGATTCCTTGGTTCTCACCTCAAGGCAACAAACCGACCACATTATCTATTAATCTCACATTATTTTTTTGTTTGTTACGTTCAGAATTGACGAAGTGACTCGGGAATACATCCTGCATCCTCAGATGTTGCCTTCAAGCCTGAAGTCGTATGAGAACAGCTCTCTTAACTATGTTTTCCCCAAGGGAATGACTATTTCTGTAATCGGCTGTGGTATGTGTGCGAGATCATCCTATATCTAAAAGTGCCGCTGAGGTTGACTCCAATACAGGCGCTTTAGGATCTGCCGTTCTCAGTCGCCTCATGGATGCATGCGAAAACATGCGGAAAAAAAGTAACGAGGCTCCATTTGATCGCTTCTTCGCTACCGTCAGTTGTGAGGAATCACGCTCGATGCTCTTAAGTAGGTTTTCAGAGCACCAGACACGCTTCCGTGCATACTGCGGCGAAAATGATTTGTGGATGGACGCTGCCGATGTCGTCGTATTAGCCTTTCGACCTTGCATGATTGACAAAATCTTAAGCCAAAATGGCGTGCGTGACGCCCTTGCCGGCAAACTTGTGATCAGTTTGCTCGACGAAACTCCTCGACAGCGGTTGGAAAACGCAATATCACTATCCCAATCCTCTGCGATGGGAGAGAAAAGATCGTCCCTATACAGCTCAATAACATATGTACCGAATGAAAAACCGCCATACCTAAAGTGTGTTACCGTTGGTAAAGCTGTTGAACATGGCAAAGCTGTTACGGTCATTGAAACTACGCCCATAGTCGGTGCTAATGAAACTTTCGAAAAATTGACCCGCTGGATTTTTAATCAGTGCGGAAAGACCATCGAAACTGTTCCAGAAAATTTTGGTATCGGCAGTGTATTGTCAGCCGCATCTGCTGTATCTTTATCGGTAGCTGTCGATGGCATTCTTGACGCAGCTGTCTCACAAGGATTAGAGCGAGCACAAGCGCGGGAAATAGTCGGGCAAAGTCTTATATCTCTCGGTACGCTACTACAAAACAACATGCGTCCATCCGACTTGAGGGAAGAGGCTTGCCGTCCACAGGGCTCGACCATCGCAGGACTGATGAGTTTAGAAGAGGACCGCGCAAGATGGGCATTTTGCAAGGCTATTATCACCGATTCTGAGCGCAGCAAACAAATAATATTAAATGCCACGCCAAGTATATGAGTTCACCGCTTGGTCCTTGTCGTCACTCAATCCAGCGGGTAAAAGATATGATGAGAATGGGATATGGAACTTCGGCACATCAAGCAGATTACCACGGCTGTGCCACCCTATCGTACGCTTAACATCAAGGAGTTCAGCCACTAACGTGTTTACTTGTGGCGATCATGTAACGCACTTTGTTAAAATTGCACATGAGCCGCTGGATTGGCTTTTCGGTAACATCTTGCCCTGCTTCCGTGGCATCTTTTCCGATAACAGAGCCTCTTTAGCTCATGCAGGACATGATAAGTTCCAGCCTAAAATTATGGATGATTCAAAATAGCCCTTAAGGCGTTAATTCCAGACTCAAAAAGAAGCATTACCCCCGCCGCCTTGGCGCCGCTCAAGTCATGTATGAGCCCCATCAGCGTCCAACCAAGTCCATGCTCGGCTCGACCACAGCTGTCTCTCCTAGGTATCTCGCGCGACCAAGATCGCACGTGAAGCAATCGGACCTGATATTTGACACCTCGTTCAGCGCGGATTGCAACGCAGATAATCATGATATTACGTAGAATAATATTGCGTGCACCTTGTAGGGTTGAATCATTTAATTGTCATAATGTACATATATCCAGTATCTTTAGCTTGAAAGCGCCCCGTAATTTTGAGCATTGCTTCGCGCAGCTCAAATTCTTACCTTAGGATTCATAAAATTTATGATGTCTAGCACGTCAACGGGCTAGACTTGAGACAGCAGCAGTGGCGCTATTTCTGCCCAATTTGACGTCGGTTTACTGCTGATCTTGCGTTCGACAAATTCGACGAATGCGGGCCTGGACCGGGATCGAACGATGAATATAGCACTCATGAATGCGGGCCAGGGCATTCTGCGCCTGCTGGTGCTGACCCTGCCGAGTAGTTTCTTTTTAGTTCAACGTTGTGCCAGCTAACTACACAATCCTGTTATGCACATGACCTAAAAATTGTGGAGAAATTGATACAGTCTCACATGCAGAGGGAACACAGTAAATGAGTGAGTAAGTGAAAGGGGAACACATGATTGATCCACTGCCATCAAATATCGAACAAGTACTAGGAAAATCCGGTCTAGCGGCAATGGGTCAAGGGCAGATGGGAGGCCGAATTAATCATTGCTAACGAGTACTCATATCTATGGTTAATCGTAGCATTGACGACTGACCTGAGCGTTCCGAATCGGGGAAGAACTCTTTACACCGAAGAGTAATGTGTGCACCGGAGGACGATGAGCGAACGCCTTTCCGTAGCATATACTGCGGTTAGAGCCAAATATTCGGCCAGACTTGATTCCAGTCAAATCTAGCAACGCTGAAGAAGTAGGCCCATATTATAATTACTACAGACTTGACAGAATTTCAAATATTTACTTCCAATAACATCATCTTATAGCAAAGCTTCATCAAGTCTGCAAGCAAAAACTTTTACATCCTTATTTCAATGAACATACTGTTTGGAACATTAGCTATGATAATGGCCGCACCTGTAGGAGCTTCACGTGGGCGGTGTAACTAGACATGACATATTTGGCTAGCGTAGGACCGCAAAACTTCAGTCGTAGAAAATGTATTCTTTAGTTTGATAAGACAGTGGGGATATATTCGAATAACGAATCTAACCTGTAAGATGATTAGTCTACAGTTATGTGCACACTAACCAAGATGACTTATTCCAACACATACCTCTCGACGACTCAGTCTTTGTTGATATTTTTGAAAGAGATTTCAGTCCATTATCTGCAAACGCCGATGTATTCGTGAATAAGCCTCTTATTTTTTTGTCTGCCATGTCACCTTAGTCCCCTACAGAAGCTGGCTCCCAGCCCTCTCTTCCATTCGTAAGTCCGACGCGTCCTGACGTCGAGATGATCCTTAACGGGCCACTGAAATAACGATCACAAACAAAAGGTAACTAACAACAAACCATAGTACCAATCTGCCAGGCGAGCTACCACGCCCCATCACTCGAACCAACCAACTCAATGGACGTCATGGTAGCTAACTTTCTCTCACACGAGGCGAAAATTTTCAACAAACAATTTGCAGACGCAGAGCTTGTTGTCAAAGGGTTTACCAACCTGCTGGCATCAATGGCTAACAAAGAGCTTCGACAAGAAGTTAAAGCGAGGTGCACGGCACTAGAGCCAAAATTCAAAATATTTTGCGCTGCAAATCTGTTCAACTGTAACGGCTAGTGAGCCGATAATTGCCTTGAAGCAAGTGATTATCATCACGTGATATAATAGTTCTAGATGTTCTAGTAAATCTATGGTCGAGGTACGGTTCAGATAGGCAGCAACAGATAATTATAAACTACCTTCGTATATCAGATTGCTCATGCATCAATTACGGAACCGTGACATCAGCTGCTAACTATTTTACTATCGCCGTCCACAAACGGCACAACCACAAAACCCCTTTCTGTGTGAGCTACGAAGCCGTTTTGGGAAGGGCAAGACTGAACACCTGTACGCGGTGTCCTCTGCAAATCTGGGTGTGAACTATTCTCACAGAGCCAAATCAGTCGAATTTCGCAAATCCGAAGAAGTTGGCCCACGAGGCAATGATCCAAGACTCTCTACAAGATCAAACTCTCCCACCAAACGAGATCGATCCCTACAGAAACCTCAAGTTTACAAGTACGACCTAGTACATTCTCGTTTCAATGACCACACCTCTCTTCGAATTTCTCTGACCTCAGCTGGTCACCAAATACACGCCCACGCCTATATTTATACCCGACGGAGGAAACAAAGCGTCGCGCACAAACCTGAGAGACAGTTCTTTGGGATGGACGTGAGAGAGATTAGGTCAAGTTTACAAGATGATGTAAAGGAGGAATTAATCTCGAAGAGCGTGAAATTCCGAAGTTTAGCAAGGAGTCTTACGACTTGAGCTTTGTGCGCGCCAAGGCTTCGCTTTCGAGAGTGCAGCTGACACTATAAACACAAGCAAACGATAGAAGGTGTTGTGTGTGTATTTTTAATCGTACTACTTGAGTCTATGACTATCTAGCACATTGGGCTCCTCTCTGACTCAGGCCACACCTTGTACAGTGCTCCTATCCTCTTTTGTTACTTGAAAGATCATTGATGTATTCCCCTTGATGAATAGCCATTCAGCTCAGTGTTTACCCGTGGAATTCGGCCATCTTTTCCACGGAACCTTCTACCCAAAAAATAAAAAAATAAAAATAAAAAGGGTCGCAATGGAATCTGCGTGCGCGGGAAAAAGTCTCAAAAAACCTGCAGCCCCAGCCAGGCGACGCCTAGACACCGGGACCACACGAGGTGCGCATACTCATCTATATCTCCCTTCTTCATAAAAGTCGAGGGCGATTTGATCCAATCCGCCATCGCCGTATCGAGCGGTGGGTACGCTCCGGAAACTCATCGGATGGCTTCACCTCCATGATAATGGTGATAGGAGAATGTTTTGAGAGACGAAGACGATACAGACGGCGAAAGCGATTGGGAATCCTCGTCGAAGTGGGGACTTTGTTACTCAATCTCGGCTCTGCAGACTCTAAAGAGCTGGAGGCTCATAAGGAACACCACTGACAGGTGTTGAGAATAATCCCCCCTGGAAGGTATTGTGGTCCGGTATAGTCCGAGTAGCCTGGGCACCTACTCCACTTGAGAAGGACACTCCTCATATCACACTTCGCACGGGGGAAATTTAATGGATGACGGAGGTATGTCTGGATAACCCAGGGTTTTTGAGACGATCTCCTGGGTGGTTATTCACGGATGAGGGTTGACTTGGGGTGAAGAAAAAGCCACCATAACTTCGCAGTGGTGCTAGCAAATGAAATCTGAGGCATGAATGCTCTACTTTGAAGTTGAGCCGTTTTTCATACACTTCTCTGATATTATGTCATAGCTAGATAGCTGCATACGCAATTAAAATCTGATGCAAAAACAAAAAAACTGGCGAGGAAAATTTGGACTGGAGCGATGACAATGTTCCCTTGCTACATCCTCCGATAATTTCCTCCAACTTATTTAAAATATCCTTGGGTGTCCTAAGCCTAAGTAATTAAGTCCTTTAACTGCCTGCAACAGTCTCAAGAGCGACTATAATCTTTGCCGATTTTGCTTTTATATGTTCGTCAGCATTTTTTGGGATATCTTTGCTGATATAATTCCTCCAGCCCTGTGATTCAAGATAATCTCCGATCAAATCTCTCCACTCAACGTAGTTTGAGTGAGTTAGGCTTAGAACCTTAAGACCCTTTATCGTAAAGTCCCTCGAGTCGTTCATGTTGTGAAATTTTGTCTAATATATCAAACCTCCGCAGAGTAGACAACGAAAACGAGTTGGTTTATCTAGATAACCTGATACGTGTTGATCAACAAAATCTCGGTTGCACAGTGAGCAAATCCGGGCTCATAGCCATTCGAAATTATCAGGATCAGTTTTCATACCATTCTAGTATCATCAAATTACCCGATAATATGCCAATGGTCTTGGCACAGCCAAAGTCCGGAGACCCATCATAAGACTTTCCTCCCTCGGCAAAGATCTCGAGGCGTTAGTAGCAAAGCGGATAGCATAAACCGCTCTATCAAGACGTCGCCACGCCAGATTTTTAGTGCATTTCCTCATGGATCTGCTGATGACCTCGTTGCATGCATCATCCACGACGCAGAACATGCCATCCACAGGATACAGAAAGCAGTCCTGGTCACTCCAGACGTTCAAGGGGCCTCTGACACCGTCATCTACGAAAGGCTACTGCTTAGAATGAGGATCATTGGGTGACTGACAATAGCTCACAGTAGCTGAAGATTGGATAAAAAACTTTCTCCACACACGATCTGTCCGCGTCTGACATAGAGATGTAGTCACAGAGCTGACTTTCCTGAAACTTGGGCTGCCACAAGGATCGCCGTTATCCTCGATTCTATTCCTCCCTTACATGACTGAAGTTGTGGGAGACAGTAATTGGAGATTTGGCTTTTTTTATGCTCAGCTATGTGGTATGGTAGACGTAGTAGCTGGTGCATAGGTGGTTATTATGGCAGTATGGCATTGTGGCACATGTAGGAGATCCAGTCTCTACATAACGACATTGCAAGTAGTAATGTGTGCAGTACGAGAGATGGATTGTTGATACAGGGCAAGTGGCAAGCCTGCTCATTTGGGAGCACACTTTGATGAACTGCATTCTGGTTACGTGATCGGTCTACAAGCGAACAAGCTAGTGATAAGGGAAGAGCTTGCCCCAATCTGTAACATAACAATAATCATAGTAACTTCACTTCTGCACATTAATGAAGATATCTCTCCACATACTATCTTGACTGTTCCAGCGCAAGTGTACATTCCCAAATCACATACCAATCATACTAGCTTTTCAGGTGATGTTGCCATCATTGGTGTTACGGGTTTTACACGATAGTTATGGCTGGGCCGACCTTTGGATTCTGCCTTGCATGTAGTTGGGATTCGACAACTATGTATGCCTGATACACAAGGCACGATGATAACTAACAGCTTACATGAGTGGGTCATCAGGACACCCTTCATGTTCGTACAGCCCCCGGTTCCTCTGCTCTCCTTTGGAAAGATATAGATTATTTTGTGGCAGCCTTTGCGTGCAGCATCTGTAATTCTCATCCCTTTACATTTAGCATAGGCTCAACCCTGAATGAAGCTGCAACAGTTGTCCAGTGAGATAACGATATGATGCTGGCAGAGGCAACTGAAAATGCCATATCTTTTGAGTCTGATAGAGCCAAAGTGATGTTACGGTTTGACCGTTGTATGAGCTTAGGTGGATACCTAAGCGTAACACTCTGAATGTTTACGATAAGGCCAAATAGGGAGGGAAAGATTGGGCTGGAAGAAACGGTAGTACTATTCATGAGGCTGAGTCGCTGTTACAACTAGGTGATATCTAACAATACATGGCTAGGTGCCAAGTATGATTCCTTGAGGAAGGTCATCAGTCAATAGATTCACGAAGTAGCTTAACTGTTATAAGCACCTGTTTGTAGATGCCAGATTGTCCTTTCCTTATATAGTTTAATAAATCGACATAACTATCACCAAATCGATTTCCGTCATACCAAGGATACCTACGCTAGTAGTATATCCCCTCCTTTGCCTTCCATGCGACTCCCCTCAAACAGTACCAGCCATCACAAGTCCTCATTCGAACATTCACTTAGAGGAGTCCTTTGACCTTCATATGTCGTCTCCATCTGACAGAACGATGGCCATTTGCGGATGTATGGCGGCCGAGAAAATATGAAAAAAAAACACCGGTTACGGGGCTCTACTGGTACCGATATCAGGACTAAACCGAAGACATAGTGGCCCTTCTGAATCGTCTGAAGAGACAGGCTAGTTGGGCGCTGCAGAATTTTTGGTAACCAAGGAAATCCACTCCTTGCCTGTCCAGAGAAATTTCCCCGTCTAACCTCTTCGGTGGCTATTCTTATCCTTCAACTTTATTGGATGCCCTGGATATGCAGAGCATGATAAGTGTTTAAAACGGTGCCGCTGGAAAGTAAAGGATTCTTCTTTTCTATCATAAGTGGGATGGGTGGTACTTCACATCTGATTATATAGTGCAGCTCTACATCAGCTGAGCCAGATACTCGTGCAGAGCCCGGGCACTCTGGAAATATTCTATTTTAGAGAGATGGTTAGCTGCATTTGGTTGGACTCGTGCACAAGACTCGCAGTACTCTAGTATCTAGTGGTTAAGGACTACTAGCATAACCAAGAGCATCGACACTACCTTCCTAGAAGGCCCAAGGACAAAAATCTTTATATAATGAAGTTGGCACCAATTGTCGCCAGGGTCTATAGTGGAAGGGGGAACTCCGTATCACAGATATATATTTATATGCAGCACTTCTTGTCATAACCTGGCTCGCATTACTCCAGGTAGCAAACTTGATCTAGCTTCGTTCAAAGCGTATTAAGTTCTGCAGCAGATTGACGGTGCTAATTCCTTAGCATGAGTAAAAGCCAAGTAGCTTTTGAAACGATCTATTTAGATTAGGAATCTACAATGGAGTTTACGTCAAAGCCCGATCTAGGTAAGAATCATAATTATTACTTGATTTTCATAGGATCCGAATTACTTTATGATATTTTGAACCTCATCAAACGCACTCCAGATAATTTTTATTCCCCGTGGGCCCTTCTTCCACGCTTTTCGGCTTCATACAATGCACGCTTCATATCCATTAACTTATCCTCTATCTTATTAATATCTTCCTTTTTCAGATGAGCGTCTTTTAGGTCCAAAATCAAGCTATTCACAGATCCAAGGATAGATTCGGAAATTATAGAGCTAGAATTTTTCAAATTAACAGCAGTATTAGTCTTCAAGCTAAAAGATCTCAAGGACCGTACTTTTGCGGTCGAAAAATTTGTCTCAGGAGTTTTCCTGCCCAAAATCCCGGGTGTTCGAGTACTGTTTTTATTGATGGGCAAATTTGTACCACCCTTTTGACGTTCTCTACCTTGACGTCTGCTTTTTCTCGAATTTGGTGATCGAGATGCCTTGAAGAATTTAGTTTTGTCTTTTCGGGAGATATCTGAGTCTCAATTACTCTCACCTCAGTGCCTTCAGTTTCTACTACATCGTCATCATCTCCATCAGTACATTTAATTGTAGTTCTTGATATCATGCCACTTCTCTGAATACTTTCATTTTGTCCATTCTTGTGTAACGCCTCTGGTGAAAGCTGGACTTGAACCTCATCGCTATTTCCGCCCAATGCTGATCTTATTCTGCAATCGTGCACAGCTTTGTTGACCTCAAAGTCTACCGAACATGATATTATTTCGTCCTTTGAAGTTTTGTTAAAGTTTTCAAAAATCTCAAAACCCTGCTGATGTTTATTTCTAAACGTAAAATCACTATTTTCAGTTTGATTGTGACTGGAATCTGTAGACTTAAGGTTTCTTGAAGAGCGCCGGCGTGATTTTTGATCAACAATAGTAGATGGATGCCCTGAAGGACTAATGGATATTATTGCCTCTCGGTTTGAGTTACAAAGTTTGCGCCTTTTTGATGGAATAATTCCAATCATGGCTTGATTCAACAAGCCTTCCCGGGTATCAGATAGCTCAGCGTCATGGAGATTTTTTCTTTTCTTTCCTGGGGGTTCGGTCTGAATATTTGTGCTAGAATTTAATTTATATGGTTGGTGGATTAGAGATTGATTCGTCGTAGTTGAGTCACTTTCCTCACTTAATTTAACGATAAATCTTTTAGCCAACTTCTCGGGCAGTTGAGTGTAATTACAAGTCCCCATCGATAGTGGAGACGAATGGGTTAGCCTTTCTCGAGCTCCCTGTATAATCCTAGGCTGAATTGTTGGCCAGAATTTACTATTTTGTGGATAATGATCGGTTTCAAATTCACTTAAATCTTCTTCTGTTGGAGAAGATAATTCTTGAACTGACTGGTCAGACATAACGAATTGGAATCCATGTTTATTTTCAGGCTTGAAGAACCTTGACGTATTAGGAGTTTCCTGAACAGTTATGGTGCCCATGTTGTCCTCAATTATTTTTCCTTCTTCGTCAGAGAGTTGAGTTCTTTGGGAATTGGTTGCCTCTTGGCTACTAGAAAACTGGAAATGATGTTGACCAACTTTAGATTCAGAGAAATCAAGCCCCGGCTCTTGATTTATATCCTCAGGTTCTATAGAACCTACTTCTTCGGCTTTTAGAAGTTGACTCGAAACGTTTCCGACTTTGCAAACGCCAGAGGATTTTTTGGAAATTTGGGGAGGGAAGATATTTTCTGAGAGGGTCTGTATATCATTTATTGGCGGGGAAATTGATGAAGAATTGTTATGGTCAGTAGCTGCAATTTCTGATAGTGATAAAGCCTGAGATGAGACTGAATGACTATTTAAACTTTCAATAATTTTTGAGCTGCGGAGATTTTTGGATGATGTAAATTCTTGGCGAGAGGCACTAGAAGATATAGAAGATTCAAGTTTGTTTTTAAATCTGATCATGGAATGAGCTCTGTTTCTCTCACGTTGCCTCAAACGTGACTTCCTCTGGTTTTTTGATAGAAGCTGTAGGTCGATTTCGTGTTCAAAAGACTTCGATGTCCCAACCGCCGCTGACTGGGTTTTCAGTATATCGTAGTTATCCCCAGACATTATGTCTCGTTTTCTCTTTTTTTGTCTTGCCAATAGTTTACTTTTTCTACGTTTTTTGCCTGATTCACTACTTTGAAAAGTAGATATAGAAGTTAAGCTCTGTTGTTTTTCAAGCCGAGAAGACTGAGACTTAATTTCTGATACTAATTCCAGTTTGGATTTTTCCTGTAATTTGTGGTTAGCTTCAATATCCGCGTCATTAAAAGTTTTTGTGATCCTAGCTTCACAATCTATAACCATATTAGCTAAACGAGGAGAGAGCTTTGGTTCGAGGCTGTTTTCTAAATGAAGGAGTGCATTTTTCACGCGCTCAGAATACTCAAGTTTATCAATATTAGGACAAAAAATATGATTCCAAGTTTGAGCAGCCGCATTTACGATAGATTTATGGCTGCTCTCTATTCCTGAGCAAACCAGAGTCTCTAGATTTTGGAGTACAATCCTAGCGTCGATAATGCGTACGATTTGGGACAGAGCCTTATCAATTGCTGACCAGAGCGATGCGATCTGACGTTTATTAGAGTTGGTTAAAGGGACTAATTTTCTACTTACAATTTTTACTTGGACACCACCATTAAACTTCAACTTTGCATCAAAGATCCAACATGATACTGCACCTTGAATCTCGCTGAGTGTGCTAAGCAGAAGCTGAGGAGGGCAGCGACCAAGTAAAGAGCAGGTTAAGAGGGCAACAAAATTATGTTGGCTTATATTTTCGTATGCTGACTTAATGTATTCCCGTAGGTAGAAATAGAAATGGTGGAAAGGGTCAAACGAAGTAGATTTTGATTCTATAGTTTTCACGTAAGATAATTTCTTCCGCGCCAACTCTAGTGCAGAAAGATCTTCGGGATATTCTGCTTGAGAATAGAGGATCTTGAAATAGTTTAACCCGCCAGGTGTTTGGCACATAATCTTTGATAATATCTCGATGGTTATTGCTCTTCCAGATTTACCCGCGGCTGTTAATGTTGAATTCATGAGAGAATCGAATAATGTGTTCCATTCTCGTGTAGGTTGGTCCGGTGAGACTTTAATTCCACTGTCAAGGATGTTTCCAATGCTAGTATAGCCTTCACTAAGAGACTGATGGCACTTGTAGTCTTTTTCAGAAGAAATTATATTATTTACTTCAACGGCAAAATGAGCAAGGCTATTCCAAGTCATCTGGGCTACCTCTCTTCCAAGAACTTCCCAAGGAATTATAGAGTTTATTTGTGTGATAAATGCAAGCTTGGCTGCTCCAGATTTTTGAGCCTCAAAAAATGGAGTAAGCACACGACAGATTATCTTCGAAAATTCAGTGTCACATTCTAGGCCGGGGCAAGGCTTAGTAAATAAAAGGATCAGATGATGAAGTGGAGTTCTACAGTGTAGTCGGATATCCTCAGGTTGTTGCGAGAGAGTTGCGATAGGGGAAAATTCATTTTCAGGCGAAATGTAGAGATACTTCTCAGTGAAGACTTTAGTTCCAAGCCCCGTTATTGCGGTAGATATAATCGAAAATAGACAGTTTAAGTACTGATGTGATCTACATTTTCCATTTTTGGGCGGGATAGCTTTCAAACCTATTACTCCAGTGCTCCAGAATTGGTTTGTGAGCCCCAGTAAATTTGCCAAGCAGTCCATAGCCTCCAATGAGACTTTGACTTCACACAGAGCTGGTGATGCAATTGAGGTGATATAATTTTTCCAGACTTTGACTACTGAAGAGGTTACTTCATCCAGATCCCAGAATAACTTTTCCGATAAACACCGCAAAATCGGAAAAACTCTGGTAGAGCTTTTTCGAAGCCATCTTGAGTCTATGGCTGGAAGCTCATCTACAGAGATATCATTTTTTCCGCATCTCTCAACGGCCCTTTTGGGATCCCATTTTTTGGGGGTATCAACTTGGAATAAATTGAGTAGTAGCAGTGCAGATAGTTCTGCATTTTCTTTGGCTGTCACAGAGCCAAGCTCACTGAGAAGAAGGCCATCTAAGGTGAGAACTTTAACAAAATCATCCCAATACAGATCTAGCTGTAAAAATGAGCAGCCGGGCCTGAATGCATAATATAAGAGGTTATGCAGACTTTTGAAAATATGACTGACTTTCTGAGATTGAATTGTTTGCAGATAAGGTCTTATGAGCATATTTCGCATTGTTTTAGGCGTCTGTTCGCTCAGCTGTATGGCAAATATGAAACGATTCCATGCATAACGGGCTTCCTTTTGTATCTGAATATTTTTTACATTGAAGCAAAGAGTAAGAACCCCTAGGAATGAATGCATAAATTTTGATTGAAAATATGCTTCTGGCTTATTTCGCAATAGAAGAATTAGTACGCTCCAAATTTGAGGTACACATGCCAGGTTTTCGGTCTTGACTTTTTCCATCAGTATTCGTGAGTAGATTTCTCCATATAAACCTTCATTATTAACTTCAGATTTTAACAACGTAAAAAGGGTGCTTGAAACGTTACGTTCAGCCCCAACTTCAATTGCAGCTTCGAACCCGAATGAAATTGCAGAATTCTTGATTTCTCGGAGGTTGCTATTCATGTCGAATAGAAGGTCCTTTATCCATGCGGTATATATTGCCATACTCGGCTTAGAAGTTTGAAGTAGATTTCGGTAGACTCTTATCCGACCTATGGTAATACTTTTACCCCCATTTTGCCTATTGGAAGTGTGTAATACATTGATCAACTTTCCAACCCTTTCTAAACTTAATATTTTGGATAGAAACCTTTGATATGCAAGGACAAATAAAATATTTTTAGTTACCTCCTTTGATGTTACTGGCTCCTCTAATGCCTTAATGGAATATTCGACAATTTTTGCTTGAAACTTGATGGGAAAGCTGGTGGCAACTTGTGGGTTAAATTGCAAACTGCTGATCAGAATCAAGGCATGGACGACGAGACTTGAATTTGGGTTTCCATCATTACCTGTCGTTATATCTCGCTCGATATACTGACAAAGTTCAACCATGTTATTTCTCAATAATTTCACATCAGGCACATTTTCGCAAGCCCGGATGGTGTCTGATAGATTGATATATGTGTCTCTCTTAAAGCATATATCGTTTCCAGCGAGGACCTTGAGGGATGATTGTAGCATACTTAAGAAAGATTCTCGTTGACGCTTAGTTGGTGAGATTTGTGCATTTCTGACCTTTAGAATTCCTTTTGGTGGCTGACGTTCCGCAGATGGAAGTAATGGACGGATTATTATCTTGCTATATTGCCCAATTTCATCGTTTGTAATTGTCGGGGGACTGCTATATTGGTTGAAGTTCGAAAATTCAACTTTTTTGTCTTTATGCCTAGAATTACTGATTTGTGACTCACAAGGAGTGCTAGGCATTGATAATGTAGGATGATGCGTAGTAAGGTCTAGTGCTGTCTCCTGTTCCGAAACTTGTGGAGAAAGGAATCGATGGTTTCGCAAGTCCTTGGCTTTGTGTACCATGGCTGCAATCTCGGCTTTGAGAATCAGGCATTATAACCACCAAGACAATTAAAATCTTCGTTTACTTGTACGAGAAAAGGATAATTAGTGGCCAACTCTTGTGGTTGTCTTGACAGGACAAACGCGTCTCGTTACGCGCCTGACATTGCCTGCGGCAGATTGGAGTTGGAGGATAATTTAATTCGTGGCGACGAGTCCTGTGCACACCCGGAAGACAAAACTATATCTTTTCGAACTAGGAATTCATCATTCCTCGCATCTCACTCCCACTCCCGCATGATACCAAAATAATGAGGTGATAAGTTTTAAGGCAAGATGGAACTTGAAATGGAATAACTGAGTATGCCCCGCATGATCTCGAACGGCATCTGATATAAAAAACACTTTCAATCTAATAAAGCTAACGGTTTCTTATAGCCCAAGTTTATGGAAACCTCATATATCCGCAATGAAATCAACCTACATAAATGCGAATGTTAGCCACTCATTATCTACAAACCAGCTTGATATTAAATCAAAGAAGTCACATACTCATAGGCACCATCACTACCGAAATTTAACACTACAGTACATTGTTATTAGGAGGATGAAGGCTCAAGATCTATCAGTGGTGTCTCCCTCGAAATTGGAAATAAAAATATCATCAGGGCCGAAATTCAGTCATAACACAACAAATAATGAAGATATTTCGACAAGATGGCGATCGGGAGAAGTGGAGCTGGCAAGTTTTTGTTCGAGGCCCGACTTGTAAAAATCCACAACTGCACAATCCATCGAAACCAATCATCTAAACGTTAAATATGAACCGTAAACAGTATAAAACCTTTCTGGTGTTCGTATAAAAACAACTGACAATCTTCACCGAACTGAATTTTCCTGGAAGACCTCTACTAGTTAGACTCACTTGTGGCTTCTTCCAAATTCTCCCTGCCACGTACTGAAGTATTCAAATTTTTAAAAGTCGTATTCAAACCCTACGAAAGACAGGATATCCATTTCGGCACAACTGCTGCGCGCTGTGAAGGTACGGGAAGCGTACGGGCCATATAATGGTCTTCACTTCGGCTAAGGGCGTCAATAAATCAACACGCGATGAATGCCCAACGACAAAGTATTTGCAACATATTGTTTTTACATCAACTTTGAGTAATTGATAAAGGCCGAGGTATCGGTGCCTCATTCTAGAGATCTTCAATTAATACTCGACATCCATACTCAGTGTCATGGCAATGGGCAACACTAGAAGCATAAATGGTTCACAAAGTTTCGAAGTTGACATAATTTGCAGAAATATTAAAGAGATGCTAAAACGAAGAATTTAAAAGGGGGGATAGATGGAGCTTCGATGGGCGACTGGACGAAGTCTTCAATGAAGAGAAAACCACCTGGACAATATGAGCAGATGATGGGAGCAAGTAAATCTGTGACTTAATGGAAGTTAAATGTCAAGGAACGGGGAGGTATCATAGGCTTGGGCCCGTGATGACTGAGTCTGAGGAAGAATTTGCTCTTGCGCGCGCCAATTATTTCTTAAATCAAGTTGTAGTCAACTCTTCAGCTATGACAATGAAGTGATCGAAATTGTCCCCGTTAAGCGGTCGGACTTACAAAAATTAACACGTGAGGGAGGTCTGAGACTGTACGTTCATTCAGGTGGGAGAGTTATTGGGTACTTCGGTTGATGAACCTGATCTAACCTTTGCCCGACTTGTACTCAATCTCTCAGAGGCGCAGAGGGTGTGATTTCCTGGCACGTTAACACACAAACAGATAAATAAGCAGGCCACCATCTTTGCAGTTGACTTGCTATCTAGGCCCAATCATGGTAAAATTTGCTGTGTCACCAACAAAGAAAACGAAAGTTTGATAAAGTTCCTCTTTTTCTAAATAATCTCCTTCACTGGTAGAAGCCATCAAAGCTAGGTAGCATGGAATTAAAAACACTATCACCGCAAATTGGGATTACTAACGCCCCGGGGAGCTGCGAGCTATAGCGGAAGTAGAAAAGTGTCGAGACTAATCAAGATATACGGTTAAGTTGTGATTTATGCTAAAATCCTTACCAGTCCAGAAACAAGTACATGCGTTTATAAATAAATGTCCCTAGTCAGCTTGCAGGAGAAATTTTTTCTATGCGTGTAGAAAGTTATCTCACAGATTTGATCTCACCAATCTTCTGTCTTTCGTAACTCATTTCGTGACAAAGACACGCAAAGGTCTGCGCAAATACTGACCTGCAGTTCAGCTCTGTAAATCGTTAGGTCAATGTCACGAAAATGGGAGGGCTATGTTGATAATGTCGAATCTGGTTGATAAGTTTGTCTTCATGGAGGATAGGGTAATGCATGGTGGCTCCTGAAAATAATGACATCTTGTGTCACGTGACTGTTTAAATATATAAGATGATTTCTTGTACCGTGACAAACGTTACTCTTTGCGATGGCTACGAGTATACAAAAAGTCTATGTTTACTCGCTGAAAGTATACTCGTGAGCATAAATCGCCTTGCTTATAGGCATAGGCCCTAATTCCGCTCTAACATCACCAATACAGTCCGGTTGGAAAACCGCCTTATGAGAAAAATATAGGCAGTCATAGGGCTGGATGGTGCAGTGGTACACCATTCGGGCCGTTCTCCCAAGTAGATACTGGGTAGCCTGAACACCTACCCCATTCGAGACAGAAGAAAGTTGGTTCGAATCCAGTAAAACCCACACACCACTCTCTCTCGCGGTGACATTGTACTTGTGGGATGATGAAAGCACACTCGGATAGCCACAAATTTTCGCGTTTTTCCCTATGGTGGGTATGCACGGAAGAGGTTTATACACCGTAAGGGTTAACCTCGAGTAGTATCTGCAAATGAAATCTGAGTGTGAGTATTCTAAATGTCAAATTGTGTCATCCTACTTAATGCACATATCTTTCGATAAAAACCTGCATGGGCCTCAACGCGCCAAATCAGGATAATGAATAATATATATATATATATATAGGTAGTCATGGTACGGAAAGTGCTTCAGGATATGAAGAAAGTAGTAGCCCCACAGAGTGCAAAGAAGCCAAGTCTCAGTGAAAAAATTAAGAGCCGGCTTACTCTCCATCTGAAAAGTTACATAACTGAACAAGTCTCCCTCCAACTGGTCTAGGAAATCTATATTCTTACAAACGACATACTCCCTCTATGATGTGGAATTTGTAGACATTGTCTTACTAGGCTTGGCTAATAAGGCGAAAGATAATGTAAGACACTGAGGGTCAAATTAAAAATGTGTTTAATTAAACAATTGTTGGTCAAGCGTAATTATTCTTGCACCTGATCACAATGGAGTTATGATATGATATGATATTATTACTATCGCGACCGCAACAGTCTTTCGCATATCAAAGAAACGCATCCACATTTGCACGGGTTTGTAACAAGTTCAGCATAAAATCACACAATTTAGAATGTCTCCGGGGAGGCGGAAGAAAGCTCGTGGGGTACTCCAGCCCCTGAAGCCAACCGGCTCTGGGACATCCAAAATCGTGAAAAGTCGAGATCCAAATCTCACTAAGACAGCCGTCCTTGAAGCTCTCATTACTAGAGGCTCTTCCAAGATGGATCGCTTGAGGGAAAATTCCCAGGCAGAGAACATCGAGATCGACTCTAACTCAGAATTATCATCAGCCCCCGACGACGAGATAATGCTAGATGACAAAAACTCGTACCCTACAATTGACATGACACCTAGTGCACAAGAGTCACAAACCAAGGCAACATCAATCTCTAGAAAGCCCCTACAGGGTCTAGAATATTCCATACATTCAACTCCTGCAAGCAGTGCTCCTCTACCTAATAATGAGGCAACAAGTACACCAGCCATGAATAACCGTCGTGTTACATCTCAGCTTCTTCCAAACTCTATGAATGAACTTGCCGCAGTACTGACTGCCTGGCAGAATGCAGGAGCCGAACATTTAAAAAACCTCCCTACATCTATTGCTGCAGACCTGCGAGCCATTACCACTCGAAGTGCTGCACGCGTCATTACCGGCCTGCCAGTTTTTGATGAGCCTAGTACACAAAAACCCGCCCCCATGAACAACACCACCAATACAGACATGCCAGATATAAGGACCAAAAAGGAAATAGTGGCTTCCCAACTGGCTCCCACATATGCAGTAGCTGCTCAGAGAGGTATTAATTCCCCAAGATCAAAAAAAAGTGTTGCGAAACCAACCTAGACACTCCCCGTGCTTGTGGTTTCAGTATGTGTCCATCAAGATTGTCGGGTGTCGCCTATCCGCTACTAGTTACACCATGATCTTTTGTTACGTCTGATATTCGAGACTGCGACAAGAATACGCGTAACTGGTATCAGATCTGTAGTTTGTCCCGTTGTATCCCGTAATGAGGCATTATACTCTAGCCCATGTCATTGCCAGACATCAATGTATATAGACAGTCTCATATCCTTTAGTAAAGATCAAGAGTTTCGATCAAGCCTTTACTATAAACATAATTCACATCTACGGATACCCTTTGAAGAATATACTTCGTTATTTCTCCGTGATCACTCGAAGAGTTCTGCATATTCTAAGTTTAAATTCAACAAAAAGACACCCGCAAAAAAGCCTATCACTCCAAAACCCGACGCAAGAGTTATTATTTGACTACCCGTAGAACACCCTCTTCGAAGTGAAGACCCACTTCTTGTAAGAACCAAGCTACGCCGACTAATTAGTCGTCCAGAACTTATCAAAGATATCCGAATGGTACCAACAGGACTGGCACTTGTGGCCCCTACCCCTTCACAAGCTCAGGACTTACTCAAAGCAGCCATTGATCTTAAACCTATTACAGGTGACGTACTGATGGAACGACAAGAGAAAAGACTTAACTACCTACTTGGCCCGCTACCCAAATACGGATACAACGCGCGGGGAAATCGAGAGGCCGTTACCTATGACGAGATCTGACAGGAGCTCGAAACAGATAAAATCAGCTCATAGTCAAT